AATTTAATAAATTAGACTGTGACATTTTATTTGAAAGCATCAATGAAGACATCAAAAAACTGGACGTAGAAGACAAAAATATACTCGAAGAGGGATTAACTATAACAGAAATTGAAAATGCATTAAAACAAATGAAAAATGGAAAATCGCCAGGGATTGACGGATTAATGTCTGAATTCTTAAAACATTTTTGGGCGGATATCAAAAAGCTACTACAAAGAGCATTTTTGGAATGTATTCAGAAAGGGTGTTTGTCCCCTACTATGAAAACAGTTTGTTAACCTTGTTACCAAAACCCAAAAAAGATTTGTTGTTGCTAGACAACTGGAGACCAATAACCTTACTATGCAATGACTATAAATTACTTGCTTTAGTTTATGCAAATCGCTTAAAGCAAATACTTGGAAAACTTGTAGAAGAATATCAATCAGCCTTTATAAAGGGAAGATATATTCACAACCATATTCGACTGATTCTGGATATGATTGATTACCAATCATTTATTCAATCAGATAGTCTTGTGCTGTTCATAGAGTTTTTCAAAGCGTTCGACACTGTGGAACATGATTTTATCTTTACAGTGCTCAAAAAACTCGGATTTGGAGAAGGGTTTTGCAAGGTCATCAAAATGTTTTATAATGATATCTACAGTTATATCTCCCTCAACCATGGAATGACACCAAAAATTAAGATCTTAGGCGGAATCAGACAAGGTTGTCCAATTTTGCCCAAATTATTTATTTTATGTACACAAATGCTAGCATATCTAATTGTGAATCACCCTCAAATGAAAGGAATTACCATTTTCGATTGTGAATTTCAAATAAGTCAATTTGCAGACGACACAGTAATTTTTCTAAAGGATAAATCTATGCTTCAGGTCTGTGCTTAAACCTGAAAAAATGTGAAATACTATCTCTTCATCCTTGTGCTGAGACAAATATAAGCTCCATTCCTGTTAAAACTGAATTAAAATACCTAGGTTTAACAATGTCTAAAGATAGAAATAAGAGAGAACAACTAAACATAGAAGGGAAAATAGATAGTATGAAAAAATCTCTCAGTCATTGGCTAATGAGAGATCTCTCTATTCTTGGCAGGATCTTATTGACAAAAGCAGAAAGGCATATCAAAACTAGTATATCCTTGTCAATCTCTATATGTTCCTCCTCAAATGATTAAAAAGGTGAATTCCGTCATTTTTAATTTCACATGGAAAAATAAGACCCACTACCTCAAAAAGTCTGTGATGGTTAAAGACTATAAAAACGGTGGCTTGAAAGCCGCTGATTTTGAATCCATGATTGGTGTATTCAAATTGAACTGGATAAAAGCTTATTTGGCACAACCTGATTCTATACGGTTCCACATACCAAAGTGTCTTTTCCAAACTGTTGGAGGGTTAGAATTTCTATTGAGTTGCAACTTTGAAATAACTAAACTGCCAGTCAAATTGTCTGACTTCCATAAACAAATACTGCTCTACTGGAAAATGATGTTCACTCACAACTTCACACCGCACGGCTCCACCGTGTGGAATAATAGAACCATCACTATTAACAGGAAGACTTTATTTAAACAAGAATGGTATGATAAAAAAGTTCTATATGTTACTGACTTGATGGATGTAAATAGCAATTTATTGCAATTTAATTCATTTGTAGAAAAGTTTAGGTTAAAATGTTCTTATAGAGAGTTTAGTCAAATCTGTAGAGCTATCCCACTTCCCTTAAAGTACATGATAAAAAATATCCTTACACACTCAAATGTGTCTGTCAAACTGCCTGATTTAAAAATCAGTGAATTGAATATTGGTGAAAGAAAATGTAATAACAAAGTACTTGGAAAGGTGTTGAAAGAGAAGCTATTCCCTGATATCAAAAAATCAACAAAAATAAAGATAACTGATAATGAAGTGACGTTAACAAAGACATATTGTAGCTATTTTAAATGGCCAATTTCACCCAAAGCAAAAGAAATTCAGTTTAAAATAATAAACAATATTTATCCTGCTGCTGAAACTCTAAGGAAAAGGTTCAATTTCGAAGTAGATCCTTGTGTATTCTGTATGACAGAACATGAAGCAATTGCACACTTATTCTTCTCTTGTTTGGTCACAATGCTTTTTTGGGAAGATGTTTATCGTTGGTTAAATATTGGGATCAACAATTCTTTATTTAATAAGTTTCAGGTGATGACTTATATGGATGGTCTGTCAAAGAAGATATCCAAGATGGTGAACATAATTCTCATTATGGGAAAATATCATATACATAAGAATAAATGGAAGAACAGTAAACCCTCCATAATCTGTTTTAAAAATGAAATCAAAAATTATATAACATCCTTAAAGGTACTATCGGAAGAAAATCAGTCTATAAATGATTTATATGAAACCATGTCAAAGTCTCTTGCTCTTTAAGTTACAATCCTGTGTCAACCCCAATGATTATTTACTTTTATTTTGTTTTTTTAAAAAAAACAATTTTGTCCTGTTTTTTTTGTCCTGTTACTAAATGTAAAAACTGTTGTTGAGATGTATGAATCTACCACCAATCTCACCACCAAGCAATTTTGTCCAAGGTTGGGAATTTTAAAGTGTTGTTAATAAAACTTTCTTGTGTATAAATTTATCTTGGAATCACGTCAGTCTCTTGTGTTGTTCGGACCTGTGTGACCTTATTGTCAGATCTAAAGTGCTGGTCCCCTCTAATAGATTTCCTGGGGGTGAAATTCCCCTAGGTGACGTTGTTGGATAACTGGTTAACTAACAAAAGTAAATCTAACCCTCGTAGCTTTGCCACACAAGCAAATGTTTCCTCTAAGGAGTTTTTGTAAATCGAAATGAGAAATAAAGTTTAACAAAAAAAAGACCGTAGGTTCGTTTGAGATGAGCCAGGCCTGCGCAGGTTTGATCACCGGCGATCGGCGCACAATGCATGCCGGTTAGTTTTGTGTCCGACTTCATCCCGACTTGCTCTGACATATTACAAAAGTGGACGGCGATAAAGCCGCAAGAGCAAGGCGGCCGCAGTTTTTAGAGCCAGGCGCTACAGTTGCTCTCCACCGACTGCACCGCCTGGCTCTCACCTGATCTAACAGCTGATTGGTTAAGATGCCGACTCAACAATATGACGTTTTAGATAAACTACTCATTTGTGTGGAATTTTAGATATTAAGATTGTATTTGTCTGACCTGGGGCCTGTATCACGAAGCAGGATTAATGTCTTAGCGAGGTAACTTCAGGGTTAACCCTGGGTTTTCGGTCTCACGAAGCCGGTTCAGTTCTTATCGGGGTAGATCACCATGGTAACTTACTCTGAACGGCTATTCTGCTCCGGAGCAGGTTAAGTTCAGGGTTGAATCTGATCCTATAAAAAGCGCCACCCACTGGCCAATCAGCTGTTCGGAAAAAAATGACTCCGCTGACAGAAATGCAGCCCAGTCATGACGGGAAGTTTAATTAATTTGATTGATTTTGATTTGAAAGTTTATTTTGAATATTAAAAAAGAAAAGAAAGCAACAACAACAGACAATGAAAAGATTGTTCAAAAAGGAGTGGAAAGAAGACGAAATGTCATAAGAAAGAAACTGATAATTTGCGGACACTTAATAGCACCATTAATTAGTGCCAACATTTTGTTTTGTTGGAGGAAATGATCCCTGTTAAAGATAATGGTCCTAATTGACAGCTTTGCTGCTGGAAATGTGGAAAGTAGCCTATCATGTCTACACTTCATGATATTTGAGGGACTTTCCTTTTTGTTTTTTAAAGAGGGAGACTAGGTATATTTTTGCGCAGCTGTTAATTTCTGACACAACTCAATATCAGGATGATTTTATTCAGACTATCAATTTGGTGTTGATATGATTTAATTGTGGCCTCAGCTTTAAGCTTTATTGTAGCATATATAACGTTATGACAAAGAAGACCAATTTATCAGACGCAATGATGTTAGACGATAATTGTAACACACGCAGTTCATCTGCGCAGCATTGATTTCATGGGATTCAAGGGTGTGATCAGTGTCCGATGTACAGGTACAGGTACTGTAGCTACTGAACCAGTGATGAGTAATATAACCTACACATAATTTTATTTGCTACCTTGTTTTGTCTTGATTTTTCCCTCTCTCCTCCTCTATTTCTTCTTTCCTTACCCGTTTTTTTTCTTCTTCTCTATTATGTGATTTTATTGATGTTTTGACAGGGGAATTTCTTTGATAAGCTTTTAGTGGCTTCTAACCTCTCCAGCACTTTTCTTTTTTTAATCCTGTAAATTTTATACTGTCTGTTTTTAACATTATGTGCAAATAAACGAAACTAAAACTAAACATTATTCATCCCGTTATGCGTTGCCACGCATGTTTCCTCCTCCTGCAGCTGCCACGGTGTTGGCCTTTTCTGTAATGTTGCTTTTCTCCTTCTCATATTTTAGTAGAATTAATCTCTGATCCTCACGAGAAATACTTTTTCCCCTCACATACGGCGCTCTGTGAGGACGCTCAGTGACGCTCAGTGACGCTGCGCTTCTCTCATGATTGTGATTGGTCCGCTGCGTGCGCGTTCACGGTTCTTGATAAAGCAACTCTGGGTTGAGTTACCGAGTTGATATCCAGCGTCGTGATACCTATTATCCTGATTGCCATTGTTAGGGTTAGTCAACCCAGGATAGGTCTGGGTAACCCAGGAAAGGTTGATCTCGCTTCATGATACAGGCCCCAGAAAACATGTTGTGTGACTGATGGTGAAAACAAACTGATATATGGGTCTGATCACTTTTTTAATGAACTGACATCATTCCAGACAGGATGTTAGTGTGTCTGACTTCCTGCCAGACTGAAGGCTGCTGGAAACTGTCGGGAAACTGTCCGACTTCACCGCAGCTTTTTGTCACCGCCCCCCGCTGCGGACGCCTGCTCTCAACTACTTTTCAGGCGAGGCGCAGTTCATCTCGAACGAGCCTATTATGTCCTTAAGTCCTCTTGGAAGCCAATAGCATGACAGGGAGGGCGTGTTCAAATCGAACGGGGGTTGACCGGGTACGGCAGTTGTTGCATGCTGGGAAGTTGAGAGGACTTGACCCGATCACCATCCGTCGACTCGAATCGTCTGTCTGCGGTGTGATCCCTAACTGAAAATGGCTGATCTCCAGGTGCGTGTGGACTTAGTTAGCAACATGTTGGTATTTCAGAGCTCGTGCATATTCAGCGCGTACCGTTAAAGAAGCGAGAGAAAGCCGTTAGCCTGTGCTATGCGTTTAGCTAACCAGAGGGCAGGGAGCCACGGGGCAGGTTGCTTTGTCTTGTGAGTACATGCTTAACAAACAACATAGTGTTGTCTCTTACACACTGATGCAACAGTTGCACTCTGGGGTATTGTGAGCTGTTGACGTGTGAAGTTTCTCTGGTCATTAGGTAGCTAGGTCGTTACAACACACGATGGTGGAGATTGCTGGGACTTGCAGTTCACCGTTATCCTTCCCTCCGCAAAGACAGCTGTACGCGAGCGTTTAATACAACAGTTGTTGCCGAGTGTTAACGTTGTATGTCTCTGGTTTGTATCGTCTGTCAGTAGATGGACTGTGAACGGGCGGTAATATTTCACAAGTGTCTCACTTGTGAAATATTTAGCTAGTAGGCTAGTGAAATTGGAATCATAGACCAATGATACAGAATCAGAATGGCTGCTCATTTATAGCTCTACCCATTCACATGTTGAAGGGTTGAGTATTAGAGACTGAGGGAACGTTCATCAACTCACATGCCCTGCCTCACAGTCACATCTGTCAGGTGACCATTAACTACGAGAGTCTGGGAGTGTTGCAATACTGCAGGCATTCAGTCCTTTACTCCCTGTCCTTTGACCTACAGCAATCCAGCAAGCGGTGCAGTTCGAGGGTGGGGAGGGACTCTGACCCTGTTGCATGTTGTTTTCTGTTTTAGATGTACAAGGTGTCCTCATAGACATTTTGGCAAATACTTTTATCTATTTATTTATTTACATTTGCAGTACATATTTATACAGTACAACAAACTTTCCAGTGCAGATAGGTCTGTTTCATGTAGTGTTTCATAGTCTATATTTATTCATAACATAGTAGTAGTAGTAGTGTTTGTAGCAATAAGCAGATCAACGGGATGATCTTTAGCGTAAATTCAAACTTGTAGAACATCATTTAACTGGGACTTTATAGTATCTTAACTCATTGTCCCTTCTGGCCCAGTTGGCACAGAGTGGCACAGCTAGTGGGGTTTTGTTGAGTTAGGAGGGTCCAAATGAATCAATGAGCATATTGTACTAGTAGGATTTTGGCTCTTTTTAGTTACACTGCAGTTATCTTCAGTATTCTATGATAAACGTAATTATGCTAATGTGTACAGTTTCCTTTGAGGTTCTAGTGAATGCATTAGTCATAGTTGAAGTTTGAAAAACAAGAGTTTGGGGTAAGATAAACATCTGTGATTTTCTTTTCTCTCTGAAGTACCATTATGAAACATGACACATAATGCAGTTAAAGGTGCTGACACACCAGGCCGACGGTCGGTCGTCGGCCAGTGTTGGGCCGTCGGTGAGCGTCTGTCGCCCTAGTTTATGCGGTGTGTCCCGCACCGTGGGCACTAGTCGGACCCCTGTTGGTGGCTTTTCGGCCGAGTGAGCATGTTGAATCGGCGGCGGAGCTTGTCGGTGAGAGAGATCACTATGATTGGCTCTTCAGGTTTTATTTTCTCACCTCTGTAGCGAGTGAATCTGCCTGTAGTAGGGATGTCAGTTTCGGCTAATTTTGCTTTTGGTAACCAACACCCATTAACCTACAACTAACCGGTTAAAAAAAATGCAAAATGGGCTGTCCCAAATACCATTTTTTAACATTCAGACCTTTGGCAGAATTTATAACTAATATTCGTATATTCGTTATTATTCTGTTATAAATAGACTCCGGGGTTCTTTCAGACCTAATTGTATTGCGGAGTTTTGCGCAGCAGTGACCGGATCTTTGCTCTTAAACCACAAAAAAATGTGATGGCACAACAGTCTCCTTCAGTACATTATTCTATGCTTTCTTTTGATTTTCACATTGGCTAGTCATCCTGTTTAATTTGTCTTTTGATTAAATCGGAACCGTTGAAACAAGTTGTAGGAAGCCTCTGCAAGTAATTGGTTGCTGGCAGACACTCTGTGCTGCAATAAAATGGTTAATCAGCAGTGCCGTGCACTGTAGAGCCGATGCGCTGCTGGTTCTGCCGGCCTGAATAGAATATAATGTCTATAGCCTACTGTTGTGTACAGCCTTTATAGACTGAGCTGAGTAGTGATGCGTGGGTCGACCTGTAACCCGCGGGACTCGCAAATGGACCTGCGGGTCGGGCAGCAGTGATTGTCTGTTAAATAGGTCTGTAAATGATATTTTGACATTATTCTTATAATCATTACGCTATTACTGTCATGGCATCCGAAGGTACTGATGCGTTGAGCAGGTGACAGTCCGTGGTCGTTTTCAAAACACACTTGTGTCACGCACTCCAAAAGAAACTTGTTGAAACTTTAAACAATAATTTATTGTACAAAACGGAAACAAACGTTGACAAAAACGGTTCCATAATTCATATTAAATTCAAAAGAAAATGAAAAAACAGCTACAAGTTAGAGGGAATAGTGATAAAGTGGTAAAGCTTGGCATTGATCCACAGCCTCAGACGGATGCACTCAAGCGTGCTGTGCGCACAAGCTCAGTTGGTAGGCTATACTATATTTTCACATTTTTAACAATGCAATTTAAAAGTTTTGATTTTTATTGATAACCTACATTTACCAACAACAAAAAGACTACATTTAGCACCAAAAAAAATATGTAAAAAAATAAGTAAATAAAAATCGAATATCGAATACCAAATTTTCATAACGAATACCTACCCATAGAAACGAATATTCGAATATCCGAATATTTGGGTACAGCCCTAGTAAATGTTAACCCTTTATCTTTTTCTCGCTCTCTCTCTCTCTTACACACACACACGCTGCTGCAGCAGCAGCTCTGCGTGCACATCCATTGTGTATGTGCTCACACATCCGTTGTGGATGTAACGCTGCGCGCACAGCACAACACTCTGGGCTGGCTCAGCTGATCAGTGCTCAAAGCGCAACAAAACAGGTTAAAAAAAATCCTCAAACTGAACATCTTTTTTTTTTTTTCTACACAGTGCAGCTAAATACCGGGCTAAAAAATACAGTGGTTGCACCACGATACGAAAGGAAAAAGGAAAAAGAGGGAGAGAGGAGGGAGAACAAGCGTGATACAAACTTAATGTCTTATATGAAGATTTACTTGTTCAACTGCTATTCAACAATGAAGAGCATGTTTGTAACAATTTGTGCGTTTATTAAATTAATTTATGAAACATTAGGCTCATAACAAAACACTAACATTACGATTCGGCAACAGCCTATATGAAACATTACTTACTTAATTAATTTATGAAACATTAGGCTCATAACAAAACACTTTAATTTAACATTTCGATTCGGCAGTTCAATTCAGCAATATAACATTAGGCTACTTAATAACAAAACACTTAAATTTAGCATTTCAGGGGCGTCGGTGGCTTAGTGGTAGAGCAGGCGCCCCATGTACAAGGCCGTTGCCGCAGCGGGTTCGAGTCCAGCCTGTGGCCCTTTGCTGCATGTCATCCCCTCTCTCTCTCTCTCCCCTCTTCACACTTGACTGTCCTGTCCATTAAAGGCAAAAAAATAAAAAAATATCTTTAAAAAAAAAATAAATAAAAAAATTAGCATTTCAATTTGGGAATTCATGGCACTTTGCAGTATTTGACTAAACTGTTTTGAATATTAATATGAACATTTAACAGGCTTAAATGCCTTTAACAGTAAAACAACATTTCGATCAAATAAACAATTTTTGTTGAGGAAGATCACCATATCGACATGCTCTGGAGTGAGCCTGGTTCGTAGTCTTTTGACTGCGAGGCCAGCAGCGGAGAACACCTGCTTTGAGGGCACTAATGTCCCGGGGATGGCCAGAAATCTCCTCGCTAGGGTGGTGAGCCTCGGGAATCTTCTCTCGTGCTCTTTCCACCAGTGAAGGGGATTATTTTCCAGGGATGGGGAGATTTCGCCTAAGTACCGCTCGACCTCACTCTCTGCCTCTCCCGCCTCAAGTGTCGGATTCTGGTAGTCCCCTCCCAGAAGCTGCATCATGGCGCTGCTGGCGGCAGCAGGTTGCTCTGTCTCGGAGTCAGAAGCAGCAGCAGCGGTCTTGAAGCCACCGATGGATGTGGACCCCACCAGTTCCAGCAGCTAGGTTTTTGCGGTCACTCTCTCAGCAGGAGGAAGAAAATGCAGATGTTTGTGACGAGGGTCCAATATCGTTGTGATTAGAAGTGGCAGGGACGTCAAGTTTTCAGCGTCCACCTGTAAAGTACATTGGCTCATAAGATTAGGCTATTATTATTTTATCATTAGGCTATATTATTATTGCTTGGTGGTTTTAGTGGTGTTTGAATTCAAAAAGTTAAAAATATTAATATTTGAAATGTTTTAAAATGTATAGCCTGCTTTTTTAAAGTTTTAAAATAAATTTAAATATTTTTTTTAAAAAGTTTACAATTTAAATTTTTTTGTTTCAAAATAAAAATGTAGCTACATATTAAAATGTTTTGAAAATAAAACCAAATATTTCAAAGGTTTTAAAATGAAAAAAAAGGAAAAAAAAGAAAAAAAGCCTATAAATAGGCCTGATTTAAAAGTTTTAAAATAAAAATGTCATAAAAAGTTTTAGCTCTACATGTCGAGGTCTTGTGCATGATATTGTTATTTGTCTATTTTTATTTAATTGCTTAAAACATTTTAAGCTGTGTATCTTCAGCCTCCTAAAGAAAATCTTAGCTCACTTATAAATCCTATGTTTATGTTTTTACAGTTTGAATCCAGGTTATAATACAATAACATGTTGATGATAATAATAGGCTAATGTATTATTTATCTAATAAAGGCTAATTTTAATATAATAGGATAGCTCTCAAAATTTAAAGACTGCCTGCATCCGTCTTTTGAGGGACTCCCGGAGTTTTCCCTTGAACTCCGCCACCCTCCTGCTGTCATCCTCTGAGAGGAGGAGGTGTTTATCCAGGAGGCTGA